TTTATCAATCACAAATTGTAGTTACGATTTTGAATGCACCATAATTGTTTTACATTCCAGTCCAAACAATTCAGATTTTTCAGGAAGCAGGCTGCCTCAAGTCTACCTGTCAGGGCTAAACCAGTCTAATAAGGACAATATCCAAGCAGACAGGTGGAGATGTTCCATGAAAGAAGTTCCCTAATAAAATGGAATTAGAGCACCACAGCGGAGAGATTGACAACTGTTACAGAGCAGATCAGGTATTTCATTCTGCATTCCATCATAAAGCTCAAAATTAGTCTATTGAGAAGAGAAATGATACTCTGTCTGTATACCACAAGATGGGACTACTACAAGAGTACTGTAGATTACTAATGCTGTCTCGATTATATAACGTAATTCTTTAATATAATTGTGTCACTTAATATGGAGATGCAGTTCACATATAGTCCAAAACAATCATCGAAAAACTGATGAGTTATTACCTACAGAAATTAGTGATACTGTACCTGAAACAATATTTCCACAGTATTTTATTATAATGAAAAAAAGCTCTCAATATTACCGAATAACAAATTTAAAGACTCATTGCACCCTAAAACAGACTTTCAATAAAACATTTTTCTATCCTAAAATTTCCAGTCCATATCATATCATAGCTTCTCAACGTCTTTCTTAGTTGTATGACCTGAACGACAACACAACAACCACCTGTCTGGGGGCTGGGTACAAGAAGACAGAAACAACACAAAGGAAGTCAAACAGAAGAACCCCACCAACACAGGGCCCTCAACCCATTTGATCCTCTCTTTCTCTCCACTGCTGCACACTCCACTGCTGCACACTCCAATCCTTCACCCTCTCTACATGATCTTTATGTCAAACACAAAGACAAATTGTGGAGACAGACACAAGATGAGCACTTTAATCAAACCTTTAGTTGATAAGAAATATCTTTCAAGAGGAGAGTGCATTAGAAAAGCATTTGTTAATATGTGCGCAAACCTTGCTATTCTTTCCTCTCAGTATAAACATTAACCACCAAACACACTAACAATATGAAAAAACATTTTCATTTTATCAGTGCAAGGAACTTAATTTTACTACTTTTACAAGGAGTTCTCCAGTCCTGATATGAAAATACAAGGATACAGTACACAGCACAAATGAAATTAAAAAACTTATTCTTATGACCGTTGAGTAAGAACCACAAGTGCAGATCAGTTGATCAAATTTCAACAATCTAGATATTATGTAAACAGACAGAATGTTCAGTGGTTGCCATCGACTCTCTTTTACTATACCTCAGTCAACACACTTCTCAGAAGACAATATTATATCACAGAGAGATTCCACACCAACATCACAGAAATCTAACAGATCACAGACACAGATATTTATATATATATAGATATATATATATATATGAAGATCTGAAGAAAAACTATAAATATTCAACACACTTCTGTCAGCCTCAGGTAGCTATCCTGTCAGAAGAGATTCGAACATTGAGGTACCATGAACACAAAAGTACAATATCTCTCAAACTTTAGACAATGCCTCAAAGCAACAAAATGGTCCTAGACATGGATGTCAACATCTTGCCTGGCTAGAGAACCAGAGATTGCAATACCACATAGTTACTGCATTTAAATCCAAAATTAACTGCACTGACTCTTAGATTTACAGAAATTACACCCAAGGCTTATGATATACCAGAAATATTTTGAGAAGTGGCACCTCTAAAACACGTTTAAAGTCATCATACCTGCATCACATTAACTTTAACACTTTGTAGTCACACAGCCAGCAGTACAAAATACACCGTCTGGTCACTCAGCCAGGAGAGTGACTGCAGCGGACTACTTGGGCCTGCGGCGCCAGGCGACCGGAACGGATCATTTTCACTGTCGCATTATTGGCCAAGTGACCGCAAAGTGTTAACAGATCTCAAAATCTTGTATTTTGTCCTGTTCACATTCTCAGCCCCACAACTTCCTATGCAATTTAGAAACTTCCTAATGTTCATATTTTTTAATTTTGTTTGTGAAGTGGAAGTAAAAGTAAATTCTAATAGCTGATCTCTGCTGTACACTTGCCCCACTAGAAATGAAAACTTTGTGATAGCTCAATGCCAGAGATCTACTTACGAAACAGCCAAACAAACCACTGAGGAGCACACATAAGAGGAAAAGTGCCATGCCTGCCAGTTCTGGCCAGGTTGAAGTCTAGCTCTGCACTTTTTACTGGCTGATTTTAGCCGCAAGGGAAAGATTAAAAGATAAATAACTGACAGTTGTTAATATTGAAGTCATTAATGACATCATCAAGACGCTCACATTAACTGACACATGGAAAAAAAAGAAGCCAGCCGCACTCGAAGACTTCTTTTGCGACTATAAAAATGAAATAATAACATGAGAAAAAGGTGTTTGACAGTGACAGTTGTGGACATTCAATCAAAGTCAAGTCGTAAGAAAGAAGTGTGCTCTCTCTCAAAGACAATTGGTCTCTTTTAAGCGCAAGGGGGCTATCCCGAAAAATGTTGTTTTGAGAAAATCAAAGGTAAAGTTTTTGGACCCTTGTTCAGTTTCTTTAAATGACAAAGAGAATTTTCTCTATAACCAAACAAATATTTACACCAATGAAACCAAACTTCTCCTATACGTAGGATTTCTGGAAACCCCAGAAATCTGGGATAGCCTGCTTGTCCTTAAAAGCGACCAATTATCCCTCACCCCTCCCCCACAGTCAGGCTAGCTAGAAAGGACAATGCCTTTAGATGTTGCAATGGGACCCAGCATATATGTTCTATAGGGGATAAAACATATATCTGAAAACATGCATACACATGAGTACATGAACACAAAAATGTATCACACAATGGTTGTTCTATGAGCCACATCTGTTGACAATAGAGGAATCTTATCCACTCAGACAATCATTATGTATCAATAACTATGGACAAAATATTGTTGTAATTTGATTATGTCACCAGTATCAAAATTGGTATCACTATGACTTGCATTGACTTCACCCCCTCTTGACAACAGGAAATATCTCACACTCAGATCAACACTTTGTTCCACCATCTTCATGGTCAGATATAATCTGGATCATCCAGAAGAAATGTATCTAACAAACTATTTCATCCCATGTCATACCCATTATAATTGGCGAAAGCCAAGACCCAAATAAACTTCACTCATTCACTGATTTATTCATTGATTCTTCATCACTAGACAGCCGATTCCTTTCAAGTACACCATCCACTTAAAAGTATTCTGCATATCAAACAAGAAGGAGTTAGCATATTCGAATAGCAACTGCAGATTATGCAGCACGGACTGCCCTGTCTCGCATGAGACAAACCAGAAATGACCAATGTGTACATGACATAATAGCAGGGCCAGCCCACATGGGAGCCGAGATCAGAAAATCTTCTAGTTATAAATTACCAAGACAATTACATCAGAAGAAAAGGAACAATTGATGGTTGTATTAAGCAGAGGGCACTCAATTATTGCAAGTAGGAGTCGAAAAATGTCCTCGTGTAAGTATTTAACAAAATAACAAAACGCATAGATTACAAATAAAAATCAGTCATGATACAAACTAACTAAAAGATGTACACAAATCTTAGGCTGAAAATAAAAACAATTTAAAGTAAAACAACAATGACAAAAACATGATAAGCATTGCATTGTATACATTTGTAAATGTACTGAATTGAAAGTCTATCCCAGACGGTAGGCAAACATGCAGAACCCTTGACAAAACTGGCGGAAGAACACTATAAATCTATTCACAAATGACCAAATGATCAAGACTATGTACATCATTGCTAGTACCAGATCAATATTTCTGAACAACATTCTCTCTGTACAGCAATGAAAACCATCACAAATGATAACAGTGAAATGTTGTTTGTGTGTTGCAGGAGCTCCAAGTAGGCCTACACATACATCAAACATTTGAATGAGCATCCAGAATTACAAGTAGACCTGTCACCCATGGCAGATCACAAAAAATAAAAAAATAAAAAATAAACAGTAACAAAATGAAACCCTAGACCAGAAAAATTCATTAATAATGTTAAAATTTATAAGTATGAGAGAGAATGGAAAACTTGTTTTATGCTCGCAGCATGCAAAAGCAAATAAAACAAATGAACTAATCATTTAAGAAAATCCCAGTACCTCTATTTCTGAGAATTTTCCATAAATTCCAAAGCTCATATCTTGGAGAACACAAAAAGGACAAAAATGTAACCAGCACAGGTTTGAGCAAAAAATAGTACCATTGTCAAATCAGAAAAAATGGAAAAGATTACAGAGAAATCACAATGGTGGGTATGTTTGCATGGCATTGGTCACAAGCGTTATTTGTTTGATAGAATCTGAGCTGAAAATGTGGTGGTAAATCCCATCCAGGGCATGTCTAAAAGTAACAAAACATACAGCAAGTGGGGGGACAAACTGGGAAAGAGAGTAATTGTATCTTATCGTTGTCAATGTCAGACAGATGGGCTGAACACAGAGAAGTGTACCGAGTCCAGTCTAGATTTACGCTGGTACTTTGGGATGAATACCAACACCAAAAAGGGAGTGCAATGTTCGGCAATGACAGATGCATGTCTGGTGCAGCTAATAAGGAGCGGAAAGGTGGAAAATCTCATCCTGACAGACGCTGGTAAATTAGGGGTGGAATATGGGAATGAGTTTAATGTTCAGAAATGTCCAGTACGAGTAAAGTGAGGTAAAAAAGGTATGGAAAGGAGAGTAACATCCAGCAATTACTACTGCAGGTAAGTAGGTAGAACAAGTGAAACAGTCTGACATCCAGTTATGACCCATGAAAGGAAGTAGAGCTGAATATGGAAATTGAGAAAACTAGGAAGGGTTCTGCAAAGAAGGATTGTGAGTGAGAGGAGACAGGAATACAGATTGCTGTGAAGAAATTGGGAAAACCAGGTGAGTGGAAGATGAAGGAAGAATGATATGCAAAATTCATCAGGATCATGACTCTTCTAATAAGAGAGCTGGAGGATCTTCATCAGACGTCGGTGAGCTGGGGACATCTGTCTGACCTGCAACTTCCCCCTTTGCCAGACCAGTGGACACAGCAGCTTCTTTGATCTGAGGGGCACAAGAAAAATATGGGGTTTTACAGGGGCGCACAAAAATACAGAAAAAGATACAGGGTCCAAGATGGGCATAAAGAAATACAGACATAAATACAAGGTTTGACGAGCAAACAGACACACAGGCTGAAATACAGTTTTACAGGGGTTCACAGAAATACAGGGTTGGCAGGAGCTTACAGAAACACAGACAAAATACAGGGTATAACAAGGCTGCACAGAAACACAGACAGAAATATGTTGACAGACACAGATATACAGAGTTTGACAGAAGCTCACAGAAAATAAGGGTCGGATTGGAGCTCATAAATTCACAGGGTTTATAGAGGTACACAGAAACGACGCATTTAACAGTGTTTGACAGAGGCAGACAGAAATCAGTTATGAGGTCATAAAGAAATACAACGGTTTGACAGGGGCACAAAGAAATATGCAGGGCCGGCAAAAAAATATTGGGTAAAACAAGGGCACACAGAAATACAGGGATTAACAGGGGCATATTATAGAAACGTAGTTTTACGAACTCTTACAAAAAACAAAGTTGCAAAACTCTCTTGCAACAGAAACCATGGCTGCACGATAAACGTGCTATGAGATAAAGAAATGTGATTGTCATAGCGTCTTAAACTGTTCACTTATAGGTCTTTTACTTCTAACTGACCACCTTTATTTGAGTCTTACATTAACAGCAGGGTCTTTAAATAACATTCCTTCTCTCAAAGCCATATTCTTCTGACACTTTCTTTAATCCTTAAACATTTATTTTTTATACAAAACCATTCACACTTCCATATCCCATCAGCTTACTTGATATTACTTTGGACTATAAGGGTGGGGAGGGTTGGAGTAGGCACTAGACTATGGTTCAAATCCTAGCTTTCTTGAGTTTGGGCTGTTTTTACGTCTCTTCACCAAATGGATTGTTACTTTCAAAGACTTCCCCTATTCATTGTCTCTTTCATCATCATCATCACCAAGTGCAAGATCTGTGACAGACATCGGCAATCATTGATCTCCATATATTAATTTCTTGGATGCTCTCAAAAGAGCTACATAATCCTGATCTTTCCTCGTCACCCATCCGTTTAGGCTCTACAAGTAGGTCTACCTCTGCCTTGCTGCTTTCAATTTTGCCAGTACGAGCTAAATGTTCAAGGCTTTTATGTCTAAGTGTTCCAGAAACTGCCTTTGTCTTTGCCTGATTGTTTTTATCGGCAAGACGCCCACCTGGGCATCATCAAAAGCTACATGTACCTTATTTGATTTCTTTTTACAGTGGTGTCAAATCCATACCAATGTTATGCCCTTGAACATAGTATACAATCACTGTTAGTCCAATGAACCTAACAGACATATTCACCTGTCTGATGTATTCCTGGCAGTCTTTCTTGGCCTGAACCAGCAGGTCTGCTTGGCCCTTCAGAACTCGGATATTCCAGGCAAAGTTCTCTGCTGCCTGCATAACACGAAAAATGAGAATACGTGCGGGTCAGATTCCAATTGAGATAACAGTCTCTAGATAAGAAGTAATGACTGGAGAGGTTCAAAATTGCAGAATTGTCATGTGTTTGAACAGGCATGTTTATAGTGAGAGTAAAACAATCTTAATCAGAGGAATTTTTTTTTTTTTAGGGGTGGGGGGTTTGGGGGGTTTAGGGGCGGGGTTTGGTTTGTTTTAGGTTTTTTTTTTTTGGGGGGGGGGGGGGGGGGACGGGTTTCATTTATATGCATAATTTGTAATTGTAAATGTTGCACGGACCAATAAATACAATTTAGACCATTTAGGACATGGGCTGCTTTGACCCTGCTTCTCAGGGTCATCCTGGGCTAAGGGGAGTCGCTCAATAAGAAAAATTTCCCTAATCAGAAATCGAACTTGTGTCTTCTGTGATGAGTGTAACTACAACATCACAGACAGCGCAGCACTGGAGGTTCATTTAGAAAGAGGGAAAAAAATATTTAAATTTAAAAAATCTTAAGAGAAACCAAGGTTAAAGAGCTTGACGGATATATTTTCACTCACAGCAACTGATTTACATGTACAGCATTCAAAGAAAGCAAAAGAATTATCGGTTCACACACACACACACACACACACACACACACACACACACACACACACACACACACACACAACTGGTGGTTACATCATCACAGAAACTCGCTCTCAAATGGGGTTAACTTGTTAAGACAAAGAACAACACCCATAGGTTAAAAAATTTATATTTTCCTGTTTCTTTTCCAAGAACAGTGTCAAAATAGCACTGAAACATGAGGGACCACAACTGGTTCACAGTTAAACTACAGAAATATGGTTCTCCATGAAGTGAACTGGCAGGTCTTTCGAACAGGGTTGTTTTCAGTGAAAAAAGATGTGGAGGCGACTTAATTCCTTATTCTCTACTCATAAAATAAAACTACAAAACCTTTTAACATTTGCAGATGCAACCATATAAAGAAATAAAGTTTTTATCTTCATTTTGCTAGCTTAACATGCTTTCTGTTCTGATCTAGAACATATAAATGAACAACCAACATTATTTAGTACATGTATGCACATTGTAGGCTATCTATTATATCCCCCCCCCCCTCTGTGCTACAGAGTATTAGAGTCCCAATCTCTCTAGAAACAGAAACAATCAACTTAAACATGAATTTCATGAATAGAACATCAAAGTGCTGGAGTCTCACAATACAACAAAAGCTGGACCAGGTACAATGAATCAAGAAGAAATGAATTCGCTGGCAGTAAGTAAAATCAATTTCTATTTCAAGAAGGGTGCCTTTTCACAACACAAAACAGTAAGGGGAACGTACAGTGTTAGGCTTTGGGTTAGTCGTTAGAGTGAAAAGCTCAAAGTAATCCCATTTTTGAGTTGCCTTCAGGGTGGTGGTGGTGGTGCAAGTGTTAGAGTGCCTTCAGTTTAGGAAGAAGATTATAAAGCTCCAGAATTACAGAGAAAGTTTTATCTCCTCGACCGTGATCTGAGATCAAGGTTTTAGGGCACTTTGTTATTGATAAGAGACTAGACAGTTGTCTGTGAGTGTAGAATTAGGAACACATCTAGAATCTATACAACTAGAGCAAGCCTGAACAAAAATGTAAAAAACAAGTAACATAAATATATGTTTTTTTGTATGAAAAATTTTAGTGAAATTTTGTTAGGTGCATCTATGTCTGCAGATTTTCACAACACTAATATCCTAAGTCAACAAAAAGGATTAAGCTGCAATAAATTTAATTGCTAATTTAATGTTACATTAATGATTTGTAAAACAGTGGCTTAACACCAGAAAGCCTTCTGAAAAAGAACTTCATTCTACCAGTATGATACAGTGCAGAGAATGGGTCACTCAAGGATGTAATGAGACCAGAGAGGTGATGAATATGAAGATGAAACAATGACTGAGAATAACGCCACTCATTCAGACATTTGTACCATCTACCTGCACTCGAAAAAAGGTAATGTGACCATACCATGGTCTGAGAGCATTACAGTTTCAGATGACTGAAAACCAAAACTTAACATTGAAGACAGGTAAAAATAGCCTATTATCAGCTGTAAAGGACTGAAGCAAAAAGACTTTATATTTTCCCCTCGTAGAACTTCTCTCTGGCAGGCAGTCTTGGTTGTATTGTTAATTGAGAAGATACACAGCGCATAACACACTTTGATTTATACGGGGTGTCTAAAAAAAGGGGGGACCTACTTAAAGGCCAATAACTTAATCACCCATGCACTAATTTCAACAAAACTTTGAACAAACAACATTTAACCTGAGGCGGGGGGGGGGGGGGGGGGGGGGTCAAGTTTGTAAATATTCAGAAAATCCTAGATTTTTAAGACATTGCAAATATTGCTTCCCTCAATTTTGGGTGAAACATTTAAAAACTTGATATTTCTCGAACATGTTGCTTGATTTTTTTTCATACTAACAAATGTAACATTCCACTAGATGAATTTTATTTTTTCAAAGTTTTGTTGAAAGTAGTACAAAGGTGACCAAGTTATTGCCCTCTAAGTGGGTCCTTTTTTTAAAGACACCTGGTATTTAAGGTGCTGCTGGACTCAACTTCTTACACCAACATCAGGCTGAAGAAGACTGTGAGGTGAGATGGCCAGCTTGTGCGAGGAGTGCATAATTTATCCCCTGTCACAGCTGTGCTTTTTGCCCAGATGGTGACATACAGATATACCACACAAAGAGCAAGTTTACATTGCCAGACTCTTTAGCTTCTTCATAACTTAGTGCCTGGGTGTCGATTTGACAAGGGTGAATATGACCGTAATCGTGGTCTCTTAGGATCAAATATAGCAGCAACTGAGTTGTTACGTAATAAACACAGTCAAGAGGCATTCATGACTGTACTTTTCTCCATGGATCGTTACAAACTATGACAAACACTGGTTTCGTTCTTCACCTCCAAGGACTCGCACATAGGCATTATATTATGAAAAGCGAAGACTCTTTCTTGTGGCTCCAACAAACTTTGAGACAGGTTGCAACTCTCCATGTGGTCTTTTACTAAAGTCTTACTTCAATTTGACAGATTGGCATTATAATGTGGAGTACAGGCTAAAAAGCAAATTATAACAATGGTTAAACTTACCAGGATCTGTGGGGAGCAAATAATACAAGAACATTAAACCAAAAAATAACAACATAACGTTTTGTTAAGTCATACAATAAAACTTAAAATGCAACACGAAACTGAAAGATGGACTAACTCACGGTACAAATCAAGAAAACTAAAAGTGTCAAAAAAGACAAGTCCAGAAAAGCTGGGAAGAGATGATTATTACAGCCATTGTTGTTGATACAGTAAGAGAGAGCTTAGTATGATGCTTTCCGTTTTATTATTCTATTCAATAAAATGCCAGGCAGTAAAACGTGCTGACCATGTAGAAGTTTTTTCTACCTCTATCCTTTTACAGAAACCATAGGAAGATGCTTGTTATTGGAATTTGTGCCATGAGGAGATAGATGCTTCTTTCCAGCACAAGATTTTAAAAAATAATGTGATAGTTTTGAGGCCTAACCTCAAACCCTTGCAAACTAAAAGCTCCCACGTCTTCATGGGGGAGGGGTGGGGACTACAAAACCTGCTTAAAAATAATAATAGTTCAAGGATCTGGCAAAAAACGACACTATAGTATTATTCAGAATCAACAGGGTAATAAAGAAAGAACTATTATTGAATTATGAATGCACACTGCGTGTTTGAGATAAAAAAGCACTCAGAGAACATTATTGCAGCCCCTCACCTTAACCAGCTTGCGTCCCTTGAGTCCTGCCTGCTGACAGAAGTTCTCCAACTCCTCATGCCATTCCAAGCCTGCACGCTGACAGTGAAGTAACTAGGAGCAGAGAAGAAAATTCTATAGGCCTACAGATAACACTCAAAAGTATTAACAAAAACTTGACAACAACAAAATGATGATTCATTTCGGAAAGAGAAATGCACTTTGATCTTGAAACAACAGTAACATACAATCACGTAATACTCTTATGAAACTCTCTTTTTGGTTCATAAACAGCACATCTGTCCAGAGAGGTCACAACACTTACAGGAAATATTTCAAACCCCCCCTCCCCACTAAATGTGAAGTCCACACAGATTAGAATCTAAACCTTTACACAAGCTTGTCAAGTAAAAGACCTATAGCACAGAAACAGCTGGCCAGGGCATATCATCAGCTCAGGGGGTATCGTGCTGCCATATGGTGCAAAAGACCCTGGTTTGAATCCCTAATGAGTGGTTCTGGACTTCAGTTGTCTTGGGCTACTTGGTTTGGTCTGATCAGGGACGTCCCACCTCCTCAATAGTCTTACAGTGTTAAAAGGAGCATTAAAGCTATACAATACCATGCACCGAGTCAGCTTGGGTAACATTTTTCAGGAACGAATTAGAGTGTCTCTGTGTCCAGACAATAAATAAGAACATGCCCTGTCTAGGTACAGAGAGCTTATTAGAAATCAGTAGGCCTACACTGTGATTAAAAAAACCCTACATATTTGTAATTTGATATAAAAATGAGTGAAAACTTGCAAGAATTTCTTCGTATCACTTAGCCTACTTGGTCCTGGTTGACAGACAGACAAACAGACAGATAGAAAAAAAGACGATTGATGTTGGGTGCTTATCAATTTCAAAAATTTTTGCACTGGTATGTAGGCCTACGCATGTGTTGATATGATGTTATTTATCAATAACAAGGGATACAATACTGCTATTCTGAGTTGTTAAAACAAAGTCTCAAGATTGAGCTTCCTTAAAAAATTTATGACTGTGAAATGGAAGTTTACATTTCAATTCTAAAGACTTGAAGCATAATATGAGAGGCAGCATGGTGAAATCAGGCGCTCGTCAAAATAATGAAATCGAAGAAATCAGCATTTTTCGGCCATTTTGGAATTTTAAAAGAATTTTTGTTTTATGACTCAGCACCTTTCATTCAAAGACACTTTAATGTGTGGATTTTATGAAAAAAAATGGTTGATATAAAGGCACGAAACTGTAAATTTGCAGATTCCAAGGGCTCTTGAGTTATGGAAGTCACCAAACTTTGGCGGCTATTTTCTCGCTAATTTTACTTATGAAATCAGGTGACCCGACCTACTTCAATTGCAAATATCTCAACTTCTACTCAAGATAAATAGATCTTTTTATATCAAAAGCAAGGCAAATTAGCAGCCTTTAAGATGATGCCAATAATGCCATACGCCTCAAAATTGACAAACGCCCGAATCCAACGTGTCGTGACACATATGATTTTACTTGCTTTTATGTGCAGGCCTACACATCAATTACTTCAATTTTGTTCTCTTTATAAACACTGGCAAAAATAGCATTACCTTTTCATAGACAGTGTCAGCATTTTGAATCATGCTTCTGCATTCATTGATGAGCTGAAAAACAAGGTGTAAAAACAAAGCTATTCACTGCACAAACTGAACTGAAAGTGCAATAAATCACAAAGAAAACACAATGTTGTGCGTTCATTGCAAAGTCATTGTAAAACCCATTGAAAGCCACAACAAAAGCAGAAGTTTTTATATTGCAAACTTAATTTGAAAAAACTTGCATCTTTCTTTGCATTGGAACCTTATATTTCACAAACAGCAGTTAGAATAATTTCTAACTCAAGAGAAAAGTCAAAGTGGGGGAATAGGACCCAAAAAGAAAGAAGAAAGAGAGAGAGAGAGAGAGAGAGAGAGAGAGAGAGGGGGGGGAGGAGGGGGGGGGGTTGGGCAGACAGTCAGGAGAGAGAGAGAGAAAGAGAAAGAGAGGGGGGGGGGGGGCAGAACAGTCAGGACAGACAGACAGACAGACAGACAGACAGACAGACAGACAGACAGACAGACAGACAGACAGACAGACAGACAGACAGACAGACAGACAGACAGACAGACAGACAAACAGACAGACAGACAGACAGACACTGAGTGACTTTGGATGGATGAGGAAAAAGCTTTGTTGTTGAAAAATTGTAGACTTTTATAATTGCATGTGTTCGTATTGATATGTAATCTATTTCAACTTTGTGTTGCAGCAGCTGATAAAAGAACACTGGAAAATTTTCACAACAGACAAACAATCAATATATCCTTCATCATCTTATGAAGACGCTTGAAAAAATCTTAAAGCAACATAGCTTTCAAGAATTAGTCCATGTTATCTCCACAGCTCTCAAAACATCTTTTCCTCTTCCATAATTGATTACAATTAAATGATATTCTAAGTCACATTAAAAGCAGGCCTGAACAGATTTTAAACATGCTGAAAGAACACATTATATAAATTAGAAAGGATCATTGTTAGCTGACCATTTTTAATGAAAGGAAGGGGCATTATTGCTGTAAAACTTTTTTTTTTACCCCATTCCGCTAAACAATCCACAACTGCACATAAACAGAGAAAGAAGAATGGCATTCCAGTCATACTCTGAGAAACATTCTCCTGTCTTCAACATCTCTGAAATCTACAGACGTCTATCTCAAAGTAGCATTTACATCTTTGCCTCTCTAATGTCCAGATTCTCCATCAATTCGAAATTAAGGTGTCTAAAGTTCAGTCAAATTTACAGAACGAAACCTTCGCAAATCAAATAAAAACTATCTGTACTCACCTCTTCGAATGAGCTTAAAGACTTCTTGAAAATTTCTGGAAGGGTACCTTGAGCCTCAATATATGGATACTGCAAAGAGCATATGGGACATTTGAGTGAGAGAAAAAAACCACCAGAATGTATCAATGAAAACAGATTACTCTAACAACTTTTCTGGGAGTCCATCAGTACATTGGCATTTGGGCTAAAAGTAGTCTTACTGCAAGCAAATAACATGCTCCTCACAAGACATGTGAGGTCACAAGCCTTGATGTATGAACACACACTCACAAAACTAACAGGCAACTGAAATTAAAGGGAATGGAGACCATGTCCATCAGGGGGGGTGTTTGTTGATGTAGTTGCAAGATGAATTTACATGCCCAATATGAAAACTGAAGGCACCTGACTGTATGTGCATCAGTCGTAGGGCCCCGAGCTGAATCACAATGTGGGGAGAGGATCCAATACTATGCTTTCAAGACTGTACTTTCTAAGAACAAACTGCCACTGACATTCTCTGGCACTTAACTACCTTAACTCTTTGAACCCCATCGGACCGGCGGTAATAACCATGTTCCCCATCAGAGGCTGGGAGCGTCCAGTACTAGTGACAACAGTTTCGTTTTATTTAGTGCTAGTTTTTGGGAACTATTCCCGAAGCAAGTTTTTAGTAATGATTAAGTCTTTGTATACACTATTGAGAAGTTGGAGGCAAATTTTTGGGGATATAATGAGACACAGTGCACTAGGTTTAGGTGGCTGTAGAAAAAAACTCCAGGAAACCGTGGAAAAAACTCAGTGCTTAAAAAGTTAAATTACAGAGTTCTATCTGCTTTGAGTTTTGAGTAATTTGACGTGAAAAATTTTGAGTTTCACAAAATGTCAAGCTTTTTTTAATGCAATTCTTTGAGTGTCTTGACAACAACTCCGAAAAATCTCATGATTTTGATAGAGCAGTTAGAACATTTGTTTTCTGACCTCATGGTCTTAGTTACTCAAAACGGTAAAAATTGACAGATAAAACGTTGTAATTATAAAGCAGCAACTTGTTGGCCACAGAGACCAATATAACCAAATACTATCATATGTGGAGATGTTGACGACTGAAGGCCAATGGACTGCTTTTTTCGGTACCATGGAGTACAGAAAAAGTGTAAAGTCCATTAAGACACAGAAGACTAAGAAACATCCATCTCGAACAGGACTGATAAAAAAATCCCCTCAACTAATTATATCTGAGCGGTCCTTCACAGTAGCCAAAGCTTTAATCCAAAATTACGTGCAGCCTGTGTGATGCACACATATATAATAGCGTTTCTCATCTAATCTATGAATCTGAATAAGACTTTGTACGAAGCTTAACTTAGAGAAGTTACATTCCTCCATCTTTATATTTATGTCCTATCTTTGTATTGAGTTAAGTTGTACAAAAATTATACCAAATCAAGGAATCGGGGAAATCAGTTTTGGGGTCAGTGAGTAAAAAAACCAAACCTATCTTGGGGGAACTTTCAACCACGAAAATTTACAGCTTGGCATTATCCCAAAACTAATTTTAAGATGATATTAAATCTAATTACTACTGTCATGGACAGGTGGAACACGTAAAAGTAACTACATAAAAAATGTTGGATATATGTGCAACAACATAAAAAGTGATGAGCCCCCCAAAAATGTAAAGATCCAATGGTCGGAAAAACGAGGATTTCCTCGACTTCATCATTTTGATGAACGGCCCATTTCATCACTCTGACATACACACAGATGTATTTTACTTACATCCCCTCTCATGGAGTAAGAGAGTGAGACAGACTCTCCCGAGTTTGCGATTCTGGAGGACAAGAGCCGGATGCACTGCTTGAGGTTGGCGATAGGGGCTAAACAACATGAGTCCTTGAAGGTGGCCAGGGACAGCTGGACATTGTCCCGCAGGTCAGTTCCCTCCCGCAGAGGTTGGATGGCCATCTGAGAACAAGACAATAAGTAGGCCTATGTTGATGGAGTTTGACGCAAACTGGTAAATTGTGAGATTCAGATTTTAGCTCTATGGAAATAGATATATGTCTAATTTATAGATAAAGATTGTGCAATTCATAAGTATGAAATAATAAAATACATGTTATGCTTAAAGAAAATGGCATCAATTGAAAATCTATAAATTTGACCCCAGGTGTCGATTTTCAGCAGAAATCTCCCTTCCTGAACTGTAACTCAATTTGTTAGCAAGCCTCAATTAATTTTATATATTTTATATAACAATATAACATACTACTCTTCATCAGATGTACATAAACATGTAGCCTCAGCAACAAAAAAAATTACACAGTACACTGTAAAGTAGCATTACAGGAGTTGGGCATTTTGTTACTGACACTATCAACAAAGATCATGATACAAAGCTCACAATTTATATTACCACTACTACTACAATAAGACTGCCTTTCAATAGCAAATATTCCTAATCTAAAACAGATTCCATGCGCATTACAAGAGAGAGAGAAAGAGAGAGCGAGAGAGAGAGATAGAGAGAGAGAGAGAGAGAAGAGAGAGACAGGACAAACATATAGACAGATATAGAAAGAGTAGAGAGAAGAGAGGCCTTTACAGCTGTTGTGTACACAACCAAACATCATGTTTTGCTGAGATATGAAAGAAACTGCTAGTAGCAATACTAAAAAAAAGGGTTGCTCACCTTAAAAGTTTCATCAATGCTCTTGACCCCAACAGACTTCATGCTGGTGTAGTCTCGAGAGCGCCGAGTTTTCTTCACAGACAGGCCTCGTTTGTTCACCTTCTGAAACAAAAGCTATGCAGTCAAACTGGAACACAGTGGAAAGAACACAGGAACACAAGAAAATAGGGCCTAATAAGTAATGACATCATCATCATTGGAAGAGTAAGAAGTAGAAAAAGGAGGAGGAGGAGGAGGAAGAAAAAGAAGAAAAAGAGGAAGAAGAAGAGGAAGAAGAAGAGGAAGAAGAAGAGGAAGAAGAAGAGGAAGTGGAAGAAGAGGAAGAAGAAGAGGAAGAAGAAATAATAGTAATCGTACTCATACAGTACAAGTCCATGCTCTACAATATGCTCTATGTGCTTTACAACTATAATTGTTGTGGTGTTGCGTGTTCTGTAACACTGACATATCATTGTAGGTATATATTTTTGCTTGTATCTATGCCATTGCCACATACCTAATTTTGACATGGAGAGTCACAAACATTTTAAAATTTCATATCTTTTATCTTATTTTACAGAAAAACAACGAGTTCCAGTCAATGTCTTAACTAGCACACTCACCCCTCCTCCGCGCTTGTTGGTGATGGCCACATGAATGAATAGCGTACAGTTTTCCATTACACTGCCTGTGTTGGACAACAACTGAATGTGCCGATAACCTGGAGGAAAGGAACAGTTTGTTTCCTGAGAGATGGATCACATGTGCTACTGTTGTTATGGCCCAAATGTTAATTAAAAAGGATATATATATATACACATAAATATATATATATACACACACACGGAAAATGCCAGTGCTGTTGCAAGAAAAGCGAGGAACTCTGTTCAACCTTGCTTAACAGGATGGATAAATAACAATAGATCTCTGATTTTTCCTGAAACAACAACAATAACATAATGGAAATACTGAAACAACATAAAAGGAACAGACCCCACCACCGAGTAACCACCCGCAGAGAAGAAATTAACTCTTTTCCTACCAGGCCAAAATCCACCACTGGCCAAGGGCTTTTCCCTGACCTATTTTTTCGCCTCTACTCTGCCACAGAAAAATGTCAAAACATCCAACTAAACACACACAAACTATATCTTATCGCCCATCAAACTGAAGGTTGAAAAATAATCTATCAGATGGCGATACAATATTGAAGATTTATTCCAATTATATTAGTTTGGAGTTTCTAAAAGTGATAATGCAATATCCAAGGTGTGATATGAAATCAACAATTTTGCAGCTTTGAAAGGTCATATCTAAAAAAGTACAACAACAGCATCATTCAAACTCCCCAAGTAGGTTGCCTCAAGTAATGCAAAGAAATGCTGAAAGTTATGTATGTGTACCTAATATAGAAGTGAAAATATGAGACATATACTGAAGTCAAGGTAGCGCTTTTTTCCCCTCGTATCTACGTTTCGAAGGGGACAAAAAAAGCGCTGAAATGACTAAAAATCGTCTCTCGGTACTATATCTTCTTTCATATCTGCTAACAGGAAGTCTATTCTATTATTGTGAAAACGTGGATCGGCCGAGAACTTCGTGGGTTTTTTTTTCCATTACTGGATTGGAATAGATAGCGAACCACTCGAGCCGTATTATGCGGCTCTCGGTACAGCGAGGCCCGGTCCGTGAGCCGCAAAATGCTGCTCGTGGTAGGGAAAGTGTTAAAGAATTTTGTTGATATAAAGCCCAAAAAACCCATTCATGGACACAGTATATTCACAGATGCTATCCACACCCTTCCTCCCTCCCACAGTCAACACAAGCAATAATTGATGGGGAACTATTCTGACAGCAGCATATATAATAGCATTCAAGCAAATTGGAAAACTTACCCAATTATTTTGATTACTCCTTGAACGCTAACTAAAATAAAATTGACTATTCAACGTTACTTTCCCATTCTGCACAGAAATACAGCATTAAAACTTTTAAAAAGTTTTTTGAGCAATAAATGGGATGAAAACTGACAATACAAAAGTATCAGAGGAGAAATAAGAACAAAGTCACTTCTGTCGTGAATCTAATTTTCAAAACACCAAATTGGCCTATGTGAATAGCAAGACATAGAAATCGGTTAACCCTATCCGTACGCCCTGGGGTCATTTTGTACCCCCAGGGTTGTATTCTTCACATTTTAGAATACTTCTAGTACGAAGATCTCTTTGAAACTTTTCAGTTTTGCTCATAAAATCATTTTGACAGACGGCTATGCAAAATGTACGGATCGGATTAACGAGTAAATTTCCTCTTTGGAAAGTGGTGGCACAGAGTTCTCCATGTCGTATAGATACGATAGTAAAACATGACGTATGGATAGGGTAAAGGTTCTATAGTGCAAAATTAAAACCAGCAAAACCATCATTACAATTTTCCACCTGTTTGCATTTACTTTCTTTTTCTGTCATGTGCCTGCTTCCAATTTCCAAGGACTCCAACTGATTCATGTGAACTTTTGTTAGTTGAGATAAAATAAATGCCTGTAACTACACAGATTTTGCTAAGGCCAGATTACTCATTGATTCAGTTATTTGTAAATGTTTCCCTCACGAATTAAATCAGAAATTTTAATTGGTTCATTCTTTTTTTCAAATTCTCACCTGTTTGCATACACTCAAAGGGAATTGTGTACTGTCCAATGAACTCGTCCCCAATGTAGTCATCATCCAGAATTGCAAACCTGACCAGAGCCAGCTCAGGCAGGTTTATCTGGAACTCAAAACTCTCATCAAAGATCGGGTTGTAGCCTGCAAAACAATGCAAAAGTTGCCGTGAATCTCTGGATTTTCTGCCTATTGCTTAAGTACTAGCCCATCTGCATGTCTTGGACAAGTCTTTTATAAATGACGATTTCATTCACATTGTCAAGAACCAGCCTTTCCTACCTGAGCTATTAGGAACACACTTGTCACAGGCTGGGGCATAAACACGCCTGACCTCGAGGAAATTATTAACTCTTTCTGTCATTATTAAGTGATTCCTTTAAAGTTTCTAAGCAACAAAAAATCCTTTTCACAAACATTTTGAGGATATATTTTCAGTTGAGTAATACCGACCTGCCACTCTATGAAATCTAAAAATCAGGATCTCGGGGGGGGGGGGGATTCTAAAAAGCGAATTTGGTGAAAAAAATCAGGATCAACGACAAATCACCAAGGTGACTACTAAGTTGACTTAAAAATTTCTCAGAGGTGTCCATATATCCATGTATACTTTCATATTATGCCCTCTGAGTGCATGCGTGTGTTTTCATTAGTTTTTTAAATCCTGAAGTATCACGTCAAGCACTCCTAGTCCAAGTGTCTTTTTCCCCCCCCCCACCCCGATAAGTCCCAAACGACGCTTCAACCGGTCCCTGACTCATGCGGAACTCGCACACCGGAGTCATGTCAGGTAATGCGAACGCGGGATTGAAACAGTTTTACTGATAGGTTTAAACAAAAGCAAAAGTAACCTAGATCTTGAGAATGCCCCAAGTCAGAAAGTTAAATTATTACTACTTCCATTTTATAGTTAATTTGAAATAACACATGCGAGCAAAGATCCAAAACAAATTGGGGCGAGTCAACTATTAATACCAAATCCGGCATTGATATTTAGGAAAATAGTGTTTCAAGTTTCTGCAGACAAAAAGACTAATGGGAGCTTCCAGCTACAGTGAAGAGAGCAGAGTAAGCTTTTAGAAAAATCGGGCACAACAGACAAGACCAAAAAAATCGGGATACATGCAATCAAAATTTACAAGCTTGAGATTCGGAGAAAAAAAATCGGGTTATCCCAAATAAATCAGGATGAGTGGCAGATCTGGTCATTTCTACAGCAGCACATACCAAAAAAAAATAACCAAAAAAAAAACCCAGCTCACCATTGTGAGGAACAGTCTTTGTTCTTTCCTCTGCACAATCTGAAGGGATGCCAAAAACCTCAATGGTCACATAAGGGTCAGTCACATCACCTTTAGCAGCTGAGCCCTTAGGTTTAGGAAAGTTCTGGCCACTGATTATCTGGAAAAGATAAAAATAAAAATGAAGTTCCAATTTCCAGTGAAACATGTTCAGAGTCGGTAAAAATACAAACCACTTTCTGAGTAGATTTGTGTAAAATATTGAAACAGATAGTTCTTGCATTCTTCAGGAAAAAGAAAAAAAATTTCAGGTTGTATGCAGCAGACTGCAGAGGTCTCACAACTAATGCCAGTGTTGTAACCAATCAAGCTATTGTTTAAAAACCACCGACATATTTTTAAGATGCTGTAGAAAGAGCTTTAATTATGGTACTACGGTACAAAAACTTCAGTGAAGATTCTACAGCCAAAAAGCTAATGTCTTTCTTGATGCACAATAAACCATTACTTTATTTAGGTCAAAATGAGTCTATCATGCTTAGGGGAATCTTCCCTGGTCCACATGTTCAAACAAACAAAAATTGATCAGAAACACTTTAGAAGTTCTACAGCCCACAAACAATAGTGAAGATAATCTTCACCTTCAATTTACTGAATGCTAAAAAAAAATAGAACAACAGCAAATATGCAACCAACACAGACACTTACCCATTATATTAGGCCAGGGCTCAAAATAATACTTAATTCACTAAAATTGAAGTAAATATCAATCTGAGACTTTTTAGTATTTTTCTTTTCACCCAATACAAGAAAACTATATCTACCTTTGCAAGAGGGCATGATTTTGAGGTTCAATGTTCTTATTTAGAATGATATCAATATCAATCCTACTATATATACATGCTTGTCAATTTTCTCCTTCCTTCTTTAATTTGGACATACTGAATAAAAATACAACATGTGGTCCTCTGTAAAAATTTAAGCACACTCTTTCATTGGACCACATTTCGCTATAACAAAATTAGAACTCAACAAATAATGCTGAGCACCTACTTTAACATGAAGTATCTGCGGCGAGATGCCAGGAATGACATCTCTTGTGTTGGCGCTGAAGTAAGCAATCTCCTCTCTCATGATGGCAGGTTTGAGGGTGTACCCACAGCCACCGTTCTTCTGGAACCATCCGTGGTAGAGGTCCATCATCAGACCCGCTGTCTGGAAGTTCAAGGCCACTGTGCAGGTGCAAGAGGGGAAAAATGTTCAGCTATTTGGTTCTTTTTCGTGTTCTGGTAATTCGCCTCATATCCAACAAGACATTCCTACAAGACACAAGCAATTCATTCTGAAAGAGGTGAACTTGTCAAAGTACATAAAAAAAGCAAGTGGGACAAGGGATAATGAGGGAGAGGAGAATTTATGCTGAATAAGAATTAAAATTTTTAAATAAAATTTTAAAAAATCATAATAGGTTTATTTATTCAGATTTAAAGACCAATCTAATGATGTGTATGTCATTCTCAGGTTTCGTACCAAAAGAGGGCTCCTAGCATAATGAGAAACCCCCAACAGAAATAAAGAGTTTTTTTAAAAAAAAGAAAAAAGAACATCTTCCACCCACCCATGTGACAACCGCAGTTCCAGAGATCTTGAGGGTTGTAGTTACTGGAGTCAATCCTCATGCCATTGGGGTAGATACGAGACAGGAACTTCTTGTTGTGGTTGACAAACTCTTCCGGGAATGACATGGCCAGCTTGAGAGCCTGTGACTCACTGAAAGAGTTGATCTCCCAGCACTTCTCTGAAACACAATACCACAACACAGAAATATCATCCGTTTACAAAGAACATTCATAGCTTAGATCAAAGCCCACGGGTGTAGGGAAGCGAATGCCAGTCTAATGACAATGGATTGTAAAAGTTTTACATCTGCATCAACACAATTTTAACAGTTTATGAAGCAGGCTGCTTTCACTCTGCCTGCCAGGGCTGACTTGGGATGAGTGGTACACAGCATCAAACAGAAAGACAAAGATACACTTTCCCAAATAGAAATTGAACGTATGTCTTTCATGCGCAACAGCAAAGACCCTAACCATTCATCATAGAGACCAGTTCATCTCCAGCTGAAAGATGAAGACAAAAGCAAAAATGGCAGATAAACAACCATTGAAGAAACAGAACAACCTCACATGTCTTTTCCTTGTTTTCACAGCAACTGGCAATTTTTGGTAAGCAATGGCAGTATGAAGAAGTCTTGGTTGAAGCAAATTACAGATGACAGCTTATGACGAATATACGAAAGCGACAGGCAAATTTCATTAGACACACAAAGTGGAAAGAAGCATTGGAGAATATTGTAACAAACAGGCAAGTTTGAAGGAAAGAGAGGCAGAGGCAGACAAAGGGAAAAGATACTGGACAATTTGACAAAGAGGCTGGGAACACACCAAGAACAACAGACACCATCGCTGCAACGCAAGACAGATGGAAGTGGAGGTCCATGATTGCCTACACCAGTCAGCAAGGCACCCGATGATTGGCAGTATACAGGAAATGAAATATAGAAAGATACAGTCAAAACACTGTCATCATCAGCAACGAGGGAAGCCTAAATGTAAAAATATTATAGCCTCATCTTGACAATCCTATGACTTTTTAACTGACACCAAACAGTGTCTGCTGTATACTGGTAAAGGTTACTGCTGTTGCACGCACAAGATGTTTGTGCATTTGGAACCACAATCTCTCAAAGCAAATTGCTAAATATACAAACATTGTTCTATTTACAAACTACAAGCATACTTTACACCCGATGAAAAAAAACAAGCTGTTTCCCTGAAGAAAACCCTATAACTGTAACTGTAAGCAAATTTCAAAACAAAACGTCCCTGGTATATATAAATATACAGAGTGAGAGGGAGAGAGAGAGAGAGAGAGAGAGAGAGAGAGAGAGAGAGAGAGAGAGAGAGAGAGAGAGAGAGAGAGAGAGAGGGGGGGAGTGTGAAAGAGAGAGAGAAAGAGAGAGAGGGAAAGGAAGAGAGAAAGGAACAACGAGAGAAAGGCAGTTGGCGCCCTCTTTATCACGATGCGGGTGGCCGTTAACGACCCCTTACCCCGGGTGAGTCCCCACTTAGTACGGAAAGACTACAGTGACTAACAGACGTACTGGGGCTGGAGTGAGTGATAATTGAGGCAGAGGCAGAGAGAGGGAGAAAGAAAGCAAGAGAGGGAGAGAAAGAGACAGACAGAGAAAAAAAAAAAGAGAGAGAGAGAGAGAGAGAGAGAGAGAGAGAGAAAGAGAGAGAGAGAGAAAGCAGGGAGAGGATAAGAGAAAGAAACAAAGATAGAGACAGAGAAACGCATCGAGAGACTAAGAGAGACAGATCGACAGAGAGAGAGAGAGA